AGGGAGGGAAGAGGGAAGGGAGAGAGGAGAAGAAAAGAGAGGGGGGAGGAGGGGAAAAGGGAAGGAGGGGGAGGAGGAGAGTGAGGAGGACTGACGCGCTTAAGGAACCGGAGGCCGCTTTGCCCTGCACGGGGGAGTTTCCTGGTCCTCCCCAGGCTCGGGACAAGCCTGAGCCTGGGTGGGGACCCCGTGGCCACTGCGCGCGAGTGAGGGGTCCCGGGGCAGCCTGACCTCCCTGCGGCTGCAGCCTGGGCACCCCGCCGCCTGCCTGGAGGCGGGAGCGCGCACCCGTGGTTGCAGGCTTGAGGCAGGCGCACCGCTGGATCCTGCGAACGCCACCCACACCGCGTTAGCGCGGACTGTTTGCAGTGTGATCCCTCGTCTGTCTTCCTCCCGGGAGACGTTCTGGAAGGCGCCTACCCTCCGGCGGCCGGCCCCCCTTCCCCCCACGTGCAGCTGGAGGCCCCGGTATGGACCTGGCCTTGCAGCCGCCCCTCTGAGAGGACAAGGACCCCCACGACCCCGCCCCCCGTGAGGCCGCCTCCTACTGTCTCTGTCCAGCTGTCTGCCCACCGCGCCCCTCAGTGGCAGCCCAGGACCACATGGACGCCTCTGCTCTAGGGGCCTTGGCTGTGGGTGCGGGGCAGCAACGCAGAGCTGGCCAGGTGCTTGGAGAACAGACCTGATGCCCAGGACTGGCCTTGAATGTGCCCTTCCAGATGCCCGGAGTTTGCAAGGCCCCAGGCCGGCTCCATCCTCAGGTGGGTGCTGGCGCCTGGAGCAGCAGGTGCTGCGAGGAGAGCCTCCACTGGGCCTCCCCGCATGGATGCCGGTGGGGAGGCCGGGTGGGGAGGCCAGCTTGGTGGTAACGTCATACCAGACCATTTCGAGGCTCTGCAGCGGAGACTCTGCTCCAGGTGGGTCCAGAGTGGAAGGGGCTGCACCACCCTCCCCATTGGCAACCTCTTTCAAGGGCTGTGTCACAGTGGTGTCCAGGAGCCCCTGGGCCCCCAGCCCCAGCACAGGCGGTGGGAGTGATGGGATCCCACGGTGGCAGCTTCCATCCCCTCCAGCCTTCTCCTGCCCCTCCCCAGTCTCTCCATCCCACCTCTTCCCTTGCCCTCTCTCCTGGGGCCCTGGGCTGAGTTCATGACCCTCACATGGGCTCCTCTTGCCCCCCCCCCGCCACTGTGGTGTACCCCATGGGCAGCGCCTGTAATGAGCTCTTGAAATGCCCATGCCACACTGTGCGGTGGGTTCTTTCCTTACCCTGATTTACCCAGGAGGAAACAAAGGCACAGAGAGGCTGAGCTTGTGTCCAAGGTTACACAGCCTGCAGTAGGGTTCCAGCCCAGGCTGTCTGGCTTCAGGTCTGCACTCAGCCTCCTCCAGATTCTGGCAATACATGTCCAGGCTGAGTTGTCCCCACAAGGGGTCCTCCTCCCCTCCTCAGTTTCCTAGCCCCGCCCCACCCCACCCTCATCCTTGGTTCTTTGGGGCTCATGAAGCCCCTTCCACAGAGGATGGAGACTTGGGAGGAGTGAGCGCTCATGGCTGGCGGGGTGCTGGGGACGGGAGCAGAGCCCCATGAGCCCCGTGAGGGGCACAAGGACTACCCGCTGACCTCTGACTCTTTCACAGACACAGGAAGAGGACGGGGTGGCAGGACCAGTGTACCCAAGGGGGGGCTGCGCTGCCCTTAGTCCTGGCTGCCTTGCCTGACAGCCCCCACCTAACGCCACAGAACACATACATCAAGTAGCATTGAGGCCCTCCTTGCTGTGTCCCTTCCAGAAACCCCAAGGGTCACAACACCTGTGAAGCAGGGTTACCCTTGTTTGGACTTGGCAACCAGGAGGGTGGGGTACAAACAACGTCCATCTGTTGCTGCTAAAGTGATGTCCTCCTAGATGCTCACAGCTGGGTGCCCAGCCTGGCCCCAAGCAAACCAGGCTCCTACCTGCCTCTGCCTCAGGGTTTCAACCCCCTGGACTTGTTGAGGCCTGTGGCAAATGTTCTGCTGGGGCTGGAGTGGAGGGAGGAGTGCATGGGAAGTGGATGAATTCATTAAACCTCCCTGGAGGAGGAAGCACGCAGATCTGCTGCCCCAGGGACCCTGGACGTCCACTCATAGCTGTGCACAGGGCTGTTTAAGCTCAGAGCCGGGAACCCCACCCTCAGAGACTATTTGGCCTGGGAGAGGCCCCCAGATCTGTGACTTCTAACACCATCACCAGGCAGTTCTGAAGCAGGAAGCTCAGAGCATGCTGAGAAACCCAGGCTCTGAGCCACTTGGCCCAGTGAGTGGAAGGTCACATCCTTCCCCCTCCCCCACCAGGCAGGGCTCAGCAGGAGCCAGAGGTTAGGCCTGGGGTGGTACCAGGACTTGTCCCACATGGGGAGGGAAGCTGGGCTTCAGGAGCTGAGCAGCGGCTTGGGACCAGCCAAGTCTGTCTTCTGGTCTTCCTCTTCACTTCTTAACAACAACAAAGGCTTCATGCCCAGACTCAGTGTGTGCAGCATCAGGGCCGGGGACCGGTGGCTGTCACTGGAGAGTTCCCACAGGTGACTTCACGCTGAGAGGCCAGCAGAAGGAGGGACAGCTTGACCCTCGGGCCAGGCCAGACCCCCAGCAGCCACGTGCGCTGGCCCACACACATCTGTCCAACCCTGTGGGTTCCCCATGGATTTGCTGATGCAGTGAGATTAATCGGCCTAACTCATTACCCTGGCAGCCCCTCCCTTCCACCTGCACCCCTGGAGAGGCCCAGCTGCAGGCCTTGCAGTCATGGCCAGGTTGGACATATTCTCCACACCCAGCTCTTCTGCCCCTGAAACTGCTATTCCAAAGAAAAGGACGCCCACCCACAGGCCAGTGAGCCCAGCTTCTGGGGCAAGGCTCTTTGGTGGCCTCAGTTCCCCGGGAGGCTTGTGGGTGGGGAAGGATGTCCCAGGCTCTCCACAGATGCTTGCTCCCACCCCAGCCAATGTCAGCCCTGCTCCAGGCGGCACTGGCTGAGGGGACAGCAATTCCTGCAGGAGCCGGGCTCTTGGGGGATCTTTCCCTCTCCCTCTGCCCTCTCTACTTTTCACCCCAAGGACATTTCCATGGCAACCAACGGTTGGCACAAACATGGATTTGTAGTAAGGGTGCGAGCACTGAGGGGATCGGCTGGATGCCTACTCTGAGTTGCACCCCAAAATCTTCAAGGGCTGAGGGAGGCAGGAGGGGCCTCAGCCACAGGTGCCCGCACCAGGACATCTGCAGGCTCAGCCAGCTTTCTTCCTGGTACCTAAGCTCCCTGTTGGCTTCCAACAGTGTGAGTCCATGAGAGCAGGCCTAAGTCTGGCACACAGAGCCTGGCTCTCAGTCCATGGTGAATGTGCGGTTGGTTCAGTGGATGGATGGGTGAATGGTGGATGACTGGATGGATGGATGATGGATAGATGGAAAGATGGTAGATGGATAGATGGATGAATGGGAGATGGACGGATGGACGTAGGTGAATGAATGGATGTTTGTTGGATGGATGGGTGAATGGATGGATGGATGGATAGATGTGGATGATTAATAGGTGATTGTTGGTTGGATGGTGGATTGATGATGGATGAGTGGATGGTTGGTGGGTGGATAAGTGGATAAATGAGTGGATGAATGGATGGGTGGGTGGGTGGATGGATGGGTGAGTGAGTGAGTGAACCAGTGAACCAATGCTTGTCCAGAGGACACAGGGAGGGCTTGCCCAGAGTGGGCCCCATCATGTCACCAGCAATCTCACCTCTCACCTGGACCTGCACAGGCCGAGAAGACATATGCCTATGGCAGGTGCAAATGCTTGGACCTGAGGAGCTCAGAGCCACCCATCTCCACTGGCTGGATGTCCCTGTCACCTTCCAGGGTTGCTGAGAGTGACTCAGTCATGAACCTCCCTGGGCTTGGTAAGGCCCTGCCCCCCTCAGGCCGGGGTCACACTGGTGGCCCCAAGTGCTCCTCTCTTCCGGTCCTGCCTGGGGCCTTCCCAGGACATACTGTGTGCCCCCTGAGCCTGGGGCCTCTGCTCTTGTCTCTGGGCTATCAGGAGAGTCAGGCCTGACCAGGGCCCACACACCCTGCCGGCCCTGGCCTTGCACACGCTGTCAGGAGACATGGCACAAGGCACACTTCTTGTCTGGTCTGGCCTCTGCCTGGGTCCCTCCGCCTTGTTCTTCCAAGGTGGAAATGAAGAGGCTGCCAAGGGAGCATGTCACACTTACCCCCCAGGCTACCTGACTACTTTAGGAACACAAGTACTCTCCTAGGCCAGCGGAGCCTCTGTTATTGCAGACTGCAAGTTCTACTGTAGTGTTGCTTGCCAGACGACACACATGCATGTGGCGCAGTGCAAGGTTCCGAAAGCCAGCAGGGGGGAAGATGGCCAGGTTCAGGCCTCAAAGAGGCCACTTCCAAATCTTGGGCCAGGGTGAGGAATTTTATAGGGAAAAGGTGGAAGGAGGGTTTTGAGGGTTTCAGGTGGTGCAGGGCAGGGCTGCAGTCTCTCCTCAAGGTGTATCCTGAGGGACAGTCCCCCAGAAAGCCCTCTGCCCTCTCAACTCTGGTCAGGTTATAGATCAGCGCCGGGGCAACTTCCAGATCTTGCCACGGGATCTCTAGGCATCGGTGATTCCAAGCAATGGGACTCCAGATGCAGTTTATTGCTGAATAAGCCTCTGAAATTTCTTAAGTAAGTTCACA